ATTTTGAATAAGTAACCAGAGATATGAGATTGTGTATATTAGACATGACGATTAACCCTCCTGTACCTGCCTGATTCTGAGTTTCAGTCTCTAGCTTTGAAATTTCTCTATCATAGTCTGATGGAGTTCTCAAACCAATGCTGCTTAACATTTGTTTCACTTTCCCAAACTCAGGAAATCCCTTGTTTTTCTTGTTCTGTAGTGTGTTGTGGGTCATTACATGCAGAAGCTGCTCTCTTCGTTGCAGCTCACGAGGATCAATGAAACAGCTCAACCGCTTTTGCTTGCTTGTGCAGAAGCTCCACTTGCTCTCTTATATCTGTTGTGATGTTAAGCAAGCTCAGAGGAAGGATGTCTAGAGCCCTTCCCATCCTTTACAAGCACATAGAATTGATTGGAAATAAACTCTAACTGTATGAGACTCCAGAGTGAGCTGCTTTCCTGGCACTCTTGGATCAAGTGCTTCGCTCTGCTGATCACAGAGAAGAGCTCTGTGAAACACAGGATTGAAGAAGGAGGAAATGGGGAATCTGTTTCCTGAATCTCCTCGAAAAGAGAAGAAAGAAGCTTCACCCTCCTGATCATGGATGAGACATTCCTGAGTTGAACAAAAGGGAACTTTTCCATGGAGGCAACTTCATTCGATATGTGAACCAACGAGTCTAGCAATGACCCAGTTGGTAAAAAGCCGGAGAAGATCATCGTCGCTGGCAGAGATGATTCATCCATTATAATTCTCGGTCACAGTTTGAGCATGTTTCTGTAAGCTTATGTATGGTTGAAAAGGTTGGCTTCCTGCAAAGAATTGAATTACTCAGATCTTCTAAATTTCTTTTTTAATTATTGGAATAGTCAACGAGCGGAGCTATTAAATTACAGGCACAGTATATTGGCTCTTTCTGTTTTAGCTGTGGACGCTACGACGGAGCAAAGAGGAAGCAGAAGAGAAGAAGAAAATAAGAACTTCCGTGCTTCTGCCATATGGAGGGCTTTCCGGGCTTCTGCAGTTATTTATATTATTTTATTCCAAAATACATAATAATTAATCATTGATGGTTTGTCAAACTTGATTTTCAGCTTTTCCATATTTGAGATGTTTTTTATGTCCGTATTTGAACATTTTGTTTGATGGCCTTGAGGTTTGGATGATGAGATCTCCAAATATTTATTTCCTTTTTCAGTGCAACTGGGTGCCTGACATACTCAAAAACTCCAACACTCTTAACATCACTGCAACACCTACGATATAAATTATGAACCATTTTTTCACCATTTGTCGTTTTATGAACATTGAGGCTTGCCTCAACGATCATGACTTGTGCATACCTATAACCAAAACTGACTTGTTCTCTGTCGCGATCCAACATGAGCTGCGAGTAACAACCTATCAGTGTTCATTTTTTTATTTGGTGTCCGTTTGACACAGAGATTAAAGCATGCAGCAAAGGCCACCTCACCTGGCAGTTTTATATGCACGCTTGTCTCCTCCACCTCTGAAAGAACATTCTTCAGAAGTTGGTTGTAAGGCAAGCCTGCACTGGTATCCCTCCTTTTGAAAATGACACTTAGTTTTTGTTTTGGGCCTGGACAAGGAGACGAGGAGTAACAGAGTATCAGCTCCAAATTCACAATGGTTCTTTTGTTTACGCCCAAAAAAATTGTGGTTTCCCAAAAAAACAAATATTCTTATGGATGTAGGTCTCGAACCTCCGACCTAGCATGACGCCCTAACAACTGAGCTAATAGGCCTGAGCGAGAAATTAGCTTAAGATATATGTACACAAATGCCATCTAAACAAATTGCAAAGTATTTATTCATAGGCTGCAAGCTAATGAAGTCTGCGGTCATGGCAATGGAAGCAAGAACTTCGTAGAAGTGTTACAAGAACAGAGGGAGGACACGATGAATTCGCTGGCTGCTGGCATACGAGGCAGAGGCAAGGCTATATGAGACGCTATTTGGAGCCATAGCCCTTTTGCGATGAAAGATGACCTGGCCATTGCAAAGGCTCCTCTTGCTCCTTACGCTGCTACTTATACCGCGACCACTTCCATTGCAATTGAGTGATAAACTCTAAGCATACCACCCTAACGGGCACGTAAAGCTCAAAATTTCTTACAGACAACTTGGAAGAGTTTATAAACCCAGTTATGGTATTTATAAACTACTATATACCATCCTAAATATAATATCTATTTATAGTGTAATAGATCTAAATATAAGGGTTATTAAGATCATGTCAATTTAAGTGGATAATGTGCATGTACTTGCATCTTACCTCCAAGCTCCTGTCTCGGTGATCCCCCCCCCCCCTCCTGATACATATCGTTTAGTTTTAGCTGGCCATGCGGCTACTCAAACATGGGCTAGCTTTAGCCGAGCCCATCTCCGCTTGAACTGCAACTACACGCCAGTGCATAGCGTGCATTATTATGTTTTGTTTTTTTCTTAAGTTTAAATGAGTTAGATGCTGAGCTTTGACTTAAACTTATATTTTATGAGTTGTAAGTCAACTCCTTACTAATTAATCAAATCTTCACCATCGTCCGTAGGTTCAGCGGTAGAAACTACACCCCCTCACCTAAAAAGGAGGGAATTCAATTTCCCATCACGGTGCTTGAGGAGGCATTCTAAAATGGAAGTACCTAAAATAATCCTGAGGATATAACATAGGTTTGTCCTACCCAACATTGGTATCACTTAAGAAAAGCCATTCAAACACCATGTCCTTGACTTGGGTTAAGCTCAAACCCTGTAACAAAAGAAAAAATCAAATCTTTGCTGGCCATACTTTATTCATTATGCAAAGATCCTTCCCATTTGAAAACAAATAACAAGTTATCAACGGGGTTAAGTCCAATAAAAATGGCTGATTTTTACAATATGACCAGCCAAAATTGTGTCTCCATGATTGCCTCTTGTAGGATGAGATATGTGTCCAACAAAGGGGGGAAAAAAAAAAAACCAGATAAGTCGAAGCATGCAAAATCTATTGGACTTGGGACATCGGAGGAGATCGCACCTCTATCATCTTCTAAGAAAATAATTATGTCGATATACTCTCCGGTCCTAAATATAAGACCCTTATACTAGTGTGTATAAGTCTTACATTTAGGACCGGAGAAGTATATTTTACTAAACCCAGTTGCGTTAGTTTCTATTGTTGTTCGGTGGATGGAGCCATATCTGGTCTAATTAGGAGATATTTCTTTTTTGTCTATAGCCTTGAAACTTTACAATTTCAAAAAAAATAAATCCATTTCATTAACAGCGAAAGTACATTCTCATTCTTCATATTGCCACGCGCAATACTACCAACGCTTCTAACGAAGCCAACCGTCAAAGATCAGCTCAATTAAGAAGGTATTTGGTGATAAAAAAGCTTTTTTTCACATAATTTGAGATAAAAATTTCTCACTAGTGATTCAATATTGTAAGATTTTATGAAAATTATACTTTGGTTTCCACCAAAATACTCTTAAGTTCTCTACGAAAATAAAACCCAACAAACGGAAAGAAAAAAGCGCGTCGTTTTCAATTGGAACAGAAAATAATTGAGCACAGTAAATTATTAACACAAGAATTAACTATACACATATTTTTTCCATTAATTCTTAGCTTTTCTTTCTTTCTCTCTTCTATCTCTCCCAGCAGAATCTCAAATATGGCATTTTTCAAGACACCAAAAGGATCATTAAAAGAACTCTATGATAACAGAAAAGAAAGAAAATGAAATGAAAGATCAATAATTGGACGCCCAGTGTAGTACACCGGCAAGGTTTTGTGCATCGCATTGACTTGTAATCAATCAAACCATAGAATAATACATCATAATAGGGCAAAGAAAATTGTCGTTCCTTACAATAATTATTTCAAAATAATTTTCAATAGAAGTGGCTTGTACTCCTCCTTTTCAAATCCCATGTTGCACGCATCACGCTCTTCTTGTGTAGATCTACAACATGCCTTTACAATTTAAATTCTCTCTCACACACAAAGGAAAATGAGCATATATAACTTTATAGAGCAACATGTGTGTGTGAGAAAGAAGGTTGTGCAATTGAGCGCGCGCGCGCACACACATATATGTATCCTTCCTAGTCACAAGCTTTTAGTTCATATTTATTATTAGACATCGTCATGATGAATTTGAAATTTTACTCCAATTTGATAGATTTTAACCAAGGAAATTGAATGATCCCTGAAGTAAAATGCAAATAAAAATTAGTTCACTGAGAAAAAGTTGTCTAATATAATTAAACCCTGCTGAACCTGGAGCCCAGCTTACAAAATCTGTTGTGTAAATATTTCTGAAGTTTAATCAGGTAAATTCAACAAGAATTTTTTGCATCAGAAAAGTTTCAAGCTATAGTTTCTATAAAACTCAGCTGATAATGACTAAGCTTCAATATTATGTTGGTAGTTTGTCTAAACCATCTGCGGTTTATAATTTGGTATTAGATTGAGTTTAAAAAATCTCAAGACAGAATGAGACACAGAATAAAAATGTCCCAAAGGAATAATATTTGTTGCTTTTCTTATCTACGTAATTCGCCCATACTTATTGTTCCAACTTAAATAACCTTAAATCAACCATAGTTCATCAAAATTTATTCAGTTCTCTGACATTGACCAGTTTTGAATTTCTATTCGCAATTAGTTCCACCCCTCGTTCATTTACTTGTTTGTGACGTTTGTTGGGCGTAGGTGTTCTTGAGGGGGAATTCGATGACATTTACCGGTTGCACTATATATGGTCTCGTACGTATTGATGGTGCGCGCGCGTGCGTACGTAGCCTTTTCGAGCAGATGGATGCTCTCATCAATTTCCCTCCCGACTCCTCATCGTTCACAATTGTCCCCCTGAACATTAACTGTCATGCGCTTAGTTAAAAACAAAACAGGCTTTCTTTGATTATATTCATTCTAATATATATTTAGGCCGGATCCATGCTTTTGCCAAGAATGCACCAGAGGACTGAAGAAAGAGACAGAAAAATGAGAATGATAAGGGAGAACGGTGGAGTTTAATTACGTACATTCAAGCAAGTCGCTTTGGCGTAGGAGAGAAAAATATATCTGTCATTCAGTGTTGAGATGGAACTGTCAAATATCCCGGACTCATCAGGGGTACGTAGAAAACTAAAATTCATTGTATCAAAAAAGAAAAAGAGAAAAGAAAACTAAAATTCACAGCTGAGCAGAAAAAAAGTCAACAAGAGGACAGACTCATAAATGGGAAGCGCTAAGGAAATATTGGTACTGGTCAACGGCAGAGGCGGGGATAGCCACCATCACCTTCACAGCATCCCTCTCATTATCCACCGGCAAAAACAGACAATACCGATCGCAGCATATGGGTCCCACGTGGATTGGCCTTCCCAGCCCCAAGTCAACCCTTTCCAAACCCAGCCTTGACCATTGAGACACTATCAGCACCCCCACCGAGTCAGGACTCGCCCTCGACTCGGACACCCGCTCTACCACCTTCCTCACGTACTCGTTGTCCACCCTCTCCTTTGCACTCCTTACCAGACCCGACGCGTACCCAAGACCCTTCTGTGCCAGCTCCTTCGCGCTGCTCTGTGCACATCCTAACAAGAACGCGTTCCCGTAGTAGCCGTCGGGTATGCCCGGCTTCACCCGGTTCCGCACGTTGATGCTGAAGAGCAACTTTAGTATCTGGTTCGACGGAAACGCCAACGCTCTGGCCCAGCTTCGCCACACGTGAGCAGCCAGGACCTCGAAGGACGTGTAGGACGACTCGCTGAGTGGACTCAACGACCAAGCGACGTTCTTGAGCTCGTTCAGGCGTCTTCTGTCGAATATAATGGAGGTTGGTTTGAGATCGCTGGAAACCAGCGTCATGAAGTCGCAAAGATCGGGTACCCGGTTGAACTCGGTGAGGATCGCTGGGCAGGCCCGATTGGGACTTCCGTACGATGGGTTGAGAATATGACGGTTCCAAACAGGTGTCGGCCCGAGTGCGGGGCATTTCCCAGAAGCTAACTCGGAGAAATAATTGAGAAATTCGGCGCTGCCGATACCGTCAGAGACACAATGGTTGATCCCTACACCAACGGCAGCGGCTCCGTCACCGAGCCACGTTAGCTGAACCACGAGCGGCGGTGATCCTTTGAGAACATCAGTTGTGTACAGGGACAAGAGTTTTCTCCAGCAGGTCACCGTTTTGGGCGCTCTATCGAAGTCGCTGTTTGTGTAGCGATCAGAAAAGGCCTCAATGAACACCGCACCCTGGGCTCGGCACACGACCTCAAGGCCCGATCCACCGGGGCTAGGCCTTACCCTCCCGGCAAATGGGTAGTACGGAACCAAAGCTTGGGCTAATGCGGCTTTGAGACGAGCCGAGGTGGCCCCGCGGTCCAAGCCGGGGCAGGGTCTGTAGACCAAGAGATACTCTATAGTAAAACGAAGGAAGAGTTGAGAGTCGAGAGCGGATAGAGAGAGAACACAAGTTGGGGTCGGATCAGAAGGAGTTATGACGACAGCTGCTTTGACTTGCACAGAGCTTCCCATATGCTCTGTTTGGATGAAGGCTATGAATTTGCAAGAAAATATGATCAAGTTTAGGAGGAAGTGAGATGGGTGGTGGTGTGGGTGATGGGTTTGTGTATGTTTGGGGTGAGCTTTTTATTGACAAGAGAGGAAGGGAGAGTGGTTAGGTGCAAGGGAAAGGAAGGGACCCCCCGTTTGTATGGTAACTGTGAGAGATTTGTGCCAAGATTCTGCGGGCATCGGCTTTAGAGAGAGATGAATATCAAAACAAAATATAATAAGAACAAGCTTTGCTTTCTGTCTGTTCGGCGGAGAGCGATCAGTGATAGCTATCACTCTCCCTATTTCTACGTACCCCAGAAGCTCATCCACGTGGTTGCTTTGTTTGGTTGCGTGATATGCCTCTCTAGCGAGCTCAGGCCCTTGGTATGATTTTAAATGCAAAAGGTAAAATGCATTGGCTTATTGTTTTGTGACATCTAGTTGGAGTAATATGTATCCACATGGTATCCGGACACACCAAGGAGGTGGGTCCTATGTGTTTGCTGTTTTTTATCTTTTTCTTCTCACTTTCCCTTGTTTGAGATATTCCAGCGATGATTCAAATATCCCATTACCACTTTTCTTCTCCATATTGGAAATCAGACCAAGCTCGACATATACAGAAGTGCCTGCGACGTAAAAGAGCCACAGATTATGAAGACCGGGTGTTGGGAGAACCACATCACGTCTCGGATTCCTCCTTTTTCGGAACTATAGATGCATTATCAAATGCTCACACCAAAAAAAAAAAAAAGAAGGTATTCTATACAGTTAATATCCGTGCTTTGATTGCATTCATTGTCACTAGTACTTGTCATTTTCAGCATACTGTCACTGTGTGTTCAGTCTTGTTCCTCGCTTGGTCGAAAGATCCCGTCTCTTAAAATGACGATGGTGACGGCGGATCATTAGGCATGGGGTGGAGGTAAAGGCAGAAGAGGATCGACGAAAAGGAAAGCGCATGGTGGCGTCTTGTTAGTTTGTATTTATGGATTTAGAATATATCATGCTGAACGTTTGAATCTCAGCCTTTTGACAGCTAAATAGATTTAAATGTTTTCAAAGATCCAGAATATGAAATGCCAATTAATTCTCATAACAAGCTTGTTCGTCATCCAATGAACTACAGTTGAGATCAATAAACACCAGGGGAATCCCACTTTAAAAGGGAAGGGGGCAGCAATAATGGATCAGCCTCTGAACACTTGCTGGCAAATTATTTATATAATAACACTTGGTATATATGATCTATCTTGGCATGTCAAGCAACATTTTTTTTTTTGGGTCAATGCTACGCCCGAATAATTGTGTCCCTTTGTGCCTCTGGTGTGAGCCTGGTGGCTACGAAGACGCGCTTATTACAGTAATTTGGATATATGGGTGTTGCGCGGGTGTGAGGAAAATATATAAGAAGCTATAGTAGCTAGGGGTATACCACCTTTTAAAGATATGTCATCGTTCACATAAACAATAAAATATGTAGCTTCCAAGTAACTAGCTAGACCCTATTCGACGCGAGCAAGTCACAAAATATCTCGAGAATATATATATAAAGAGAGACCATATATCGAGTCAGAAATACGCGAAGAACCGTCCCCAGGGGATACAATTGTTCTGCAAATTGTGTGATATAATTAATATCAGCAGCTAGATATGTAGACAATCACGGGGGAGTTTTTAAAATGAAACGAAAGGAAAAGGAGACCTAGAGGGACAATAAGTGGATGCCTACATATATAAGCACGTATATGTAGATGATATCCCGCGTATTATATTAGAGTAATCCTTGCGTCGCTTTATAAGGAATATTGTCGCCCAGATTTGTGGCACAGTTAAAAGAAACGGGTATCCTAGTCTCCAAAATTTTGGCCCTAGGTTGATGAGGGGGATTTGTCTCTTTATAATGATGCTAATTAATAAATAATTAAATGTGAAAAAAAAATGTAAGCAACAACTACAGCAGTTAACGCACGTCAACGTCGTTGATTCCCCTTTATATATTCTGTTTAGCCAGATTTCTTATCTTAAAAAAAGGAAAATGTCGATCGCCCTTTATTCCTCCACAAGATGTGGATTAAGATTTCATGAGATCTCCGGCCAATTAATGCGGAGGCAAGGCGCGCTCAGTTGATTATCCCAATCCAGCTGCTTGCTCGTAAATCTGAACAAATTGATCTCGCTCTTTCGACATCTGCTTTGTTTGTATGCGAGCGTTTCCTTTCCGTCGAACCATTCTTTTGTCCGCACATATTAATTTGAAATAGTTGTCATTTAGTCCTTCCCAATAATTATACTCTTGAACGGCGAATGAAGTTTTAGCCACGCAATTTGAATATCAATTGTCAACATATCTTTTGACCTGGCGAGACCTTTGCACACATATAACTGTTGGAGAGCTCCGGAAGGAGTGAGCGAATGATACTAGTGGGTGCGAAAGACGCAGTACAAAGTAAACAAATAAAAAGGGCAGATTTTACGTTGATGGAGACAGTGAAGATGCGTTATATGTGTGGGTATATGTGGGGGCTGGCAAGTGCATGCCAGAGGCTTTGGATTCATGTGCAGCCATTTACTTTACTGATGACACTACTGACAGTGACACAATCCCCAGATGCTGTTCTCACTTCCCCCAATTTCCCACCACCCAATTAATTCTCCCCCAGATTCTCTTCCATTTTATTTTCTCAGCCACACCAACATCACATATATATATATATATATATATGTACATACGGGCGATCGAACGAGACAAGGAACGGAGATTTTTCATTCTGTGCGTGTGCGAGCCTAATGAATCATATATGTAGGTTGCACTGTAGACTCTCCCAGCTGAAGAGCTTAACTCTTGTTCAGATGACACGTATGCATGCCTCTAAAGTGTGTAAGATAAGATTACATAAGGCCTAAAGTATTTTGATGCGATTAAATTAAAATACGATGGGGCTTTTCTGTTCATGGGTGATTATGTGGGCAGATTAAAGCTTGGTGCTCTTGTTTCCTTTCTTTAGTGGTCTCCCCTTGTCCTGCTGCATCTCGCCATCACGTCTTTTCAGACGGGAAAAATAAAAGGAAAAAGGCGCAGAACCAATCTCAAGACAAGACGGATTGATGGACGTCGTTCAAAAATTATACATTATCTACTTAAAAGAACATGGTTCACTCATTATTTGTCTTTGTTCCCATTTATAATTCATAAGGAATCTCTGTCTGTGTTTGAAATGGGCTGATCCTGATTTGAACGTTTTGTTCACCACGCTATTAGCCGCCGGGTGACCCTCAGGATAAGAGCCTGAACCCACATTTCTCCCTCGGCATGTCTTGCCGTCAATTCTTTTTTCCCAAATTTGACGGGACCTGATCTTAGAGAAGAAGTATGTGATTATCATTGATTTTCTTTAAATTCTGCCATATTTAATTCAAGTGTAAAATTTAAAATTAGAACCAAGATCCTTACCACCAAATCATTCAATTATTTAGTCATCCAGTCCCATCTGTTTTTTTTTCCCAATTATTTTTCAAGCTTTCGAAATCACTACTGTTTCGCGGAAAAGGAGGGACTACCAACAATCTGAATTTTGACTGTTTCATGTATAATTCAGTTCGTGCAATTCTGGCGTGAGAGGGCTGAATTCATGTTTGTGGGATCCGTTAGAAGAATTTGTTGCGTGTGTGCGTTTGTCTGTAATGTGTTTGGTTGACAAGCATAATTAATTGGCTCACGGGTGGCTACTGACTAGGAAATAAAGAAACACGCTGAGATTGAGCGTCCTAACAATATTACTGGCCATTCAATTTCTCTCGTGTGCGATTCAAAAGGTATACATGTGTGTCTTGGCCAAGACAAGTACATGTTTTGATCTCAGCTTAATGTATATTTTCTACATCTAACTCTCTGTCGTGTGGCCACCAAATTGCCAAAACTTCTCGGAGACAAATCTTTTGTCAAGATTGTATGTGTCACGGACTCAAATCAAATGTAATCTCACATGTCCAAACATATAATCCAGGTGTTAATAGTTTAATGAATAGCGGTTAGGTTCGTTGGTTTTATACTCATCTGCTCTGTTATTATGTAGCTCCCGACAATACTTGCAATGATCGCCTCTATAGTTTGTACCACCCACAGTATTCTCAAGACCGCATCTGAGACAGGGCCCTTCACATGTGGTCTTGTTTAGATTTCACGCCATCATGATGATAAACAAATATTATGAACAAATCTTTCAATGATATGGTTGGTTAAAAAAATAATGTGCAGATAAAGTCTTCCTTTTTAATAAATGAACTGGTTCAGAATCTTATTAGAGAATTAAATTTAAGAATGTACACTGTAGTCAGATGACGGAGCTGCCGTCCACATAATTTATGATTGCGTTGAGTTTATTTGGGCTGGCCCAGATATATGGAACCGAAATACCATCATTTAGGGAGAGATCTGAAGACGAGAGGGCAGGCTAAACTAAGAGGCCTGGGCCTCAGATCCCTTGCAATACAGTGAATTTGAGCCTAGATATGCCGATGTTTTTCTGGACTGGAGCCAGCATTTCATTTCCAAGTATTTACTACTGGATACCAGACCAGCGATATAAAAGTGACGAAAATGAAGAGTTCCAAGGCGTGTAGGTGGCTTGGATTCCATGCTCGGAGTCTACCTATCTCTGATGACGCGGATGGAGCCTGATTCATTGCAGGCCTTTTGAGCAGCATCATCTGCTTCATGCCTGGCACGTGGCAGACGCTTACTTTCTATGCAAAGGCCACGTATACATGCAGCCCCGTCCACACCACTGCACCTGTTCACGTCGTCCCATTGAAAACCCGGCGAGCTTTTCTCGAGGCATTAACAGGGTTTAACTAGCAAGCAGTAACGCTGATTACCGTATATCCGCGTAAACAGTTCATTTAGTATGCTTTTTTGTTCATTAAAAATAAAGTGCGACTTTCAATTGGAGTTCTTATCATGAAAAAATATATATGTCATTCCTGTTTTATATATACCACCTCCCCCGTCTTAATTATAAGATTTTGTTTTTGTAAACCACAAACGAGATCTTATAATTAAGACAGGATGTAGAATATTACTCTTTATAAGAGATAAATGCTACGTCGAGGGGAGAGAGTATGAGCTTTAATTCAGTCCGGCAGGAAAAAGTATTGAAACTAAACCCAAAAATCTCTAAATGGAGTTGACCATGCATGATACGATCTTTTTTTGCACTAAATTAAAAAGCAATCCGTCCGGGAGAGTAATTATCCGAAACAAGAGGAAGTGACCGAGCGCAGTCGCTTAATTGATCAGGGGCAGATATCTATCTCGATTCTATAACCGTGCTCGATCGGATAGAGCCGCTGGCGATATATGCCAATCCAAAAAATAAGATATAGCCAGCTTTTTATATGTACACATGGTGTAAATACTGACACACCAGCCATTTGCTCCATTTACTAATAAATACTGCTATTAGGCATAATGCTGAGCGAATCCGATCCGCTCCATCTTCTCCAGTTCAATAATATCCAATCCTCCTTAATTGAAGCAACTAAAGTGAATTAGTTACATGCAAGGCAGGGGCCAGTGTCACAGTAGTATGCAGTAGTAACAAATAAGTTCACTGCACATACAAGAAAGATCATCCCAGTATATAAACCTCACCTGCACGGTTGACTGATATATATATATATATATATATATTAGGCTACATTTAAAATTTTAAACCGAGCACTACTCTCCACTGACCAAACTCTCCATTAGAAGTAGAGGGGGAAGGATAAATTTTGGATTCATAATAAGTGTTTCCCGCGGTGGCAAATTTGGTGGAAGAATGCAGAACGATGGGCATATGTCATAAAAAGGCATCATTTGAAACAAGTGAAGGAAAAAGCACAAAACGATGTCGTGCGGTTTAAATGGGGAGGCTGTGGAAGCTGGAAAGAACCTGACTCATAATTAATTAGTTACTATTAATCACTTCAAGGGTCCAAAAAATGTAAGTCAAGAAACGGGGTAATGTTTGGCCAAAAAAAGAAAGAAAGAAACGGGGTAATGATTCCAAGTTCCGAAACCACTGTGCACCTGTGCTGCTCTGTTTCTTCGCTGCACAGCAATCTCCTTCCCCTTCTCTCTCCATAAATATTCCACATTTGCAACTCCCACCGCCCTATTCCACCATTTACACGCCTGACATATTCGCACCTCCACTCACCACAACTTCTCCGTCAAACATCAAAAACACTGAACGAGGCACCTTCCACTGGTCTCCATCCTTTTAAACCTCCAATGGACGACCTTTTTCCTCGCCTGCTCATGCGCTTCACCCTCCCCAAGAAACCGCACCCACCACCATCACCACCGCTGCCACCGCCACTCCTTGCCCAACATCTACTAATACCACCAAAACTCACTCTGCTCGCAAATGTAAAGGAAAAGGTGGACCCGACAACAACAAATTTAGGTACCGTGGTGTGAGGCAGCGAAGCTGGGGCAAATGGGTCGCTGAGATCCGAGAGCCTCGCAAGCGAACCCGAAAGTGGCTCGGCACCTTCGCCACCGCCGAGGACGCCGCTCGAGCCTACGACCGCGCAGCTATCATCCTCTACGGCTCTAGGGCTCAGCTCAATTTACAACCCTCCGCCGCCTCTTCTTCCCACTCTTCCGCCTCTCGGGCTTCTACGCCTTCTTCTTCTTCTCAAACCCTTCGTCCCTTGCTTCCCCGCCCCTCTGGCCTTAGCTTCGCCTTTTCTTCTGCCGCCACATCGGGTTTCTTACCCTACGGGGTTTACCCCAATAATACTAATTATATCCCGCAAATGATATGCCCGGTGAATAATAATGTGGCGCAACAGCATCGTCAAGTGGTGCAACTTCCACAGAAATCGCATCGCCACTCCCCAGAATCTGATGGAAATATTGTCGAGAACTCCAACACGGCAGCCTCGTACCAGGATCAGCTGGTGCAGCAGCATCAGAATTGCATGCACGACGATATTAGTTCTCTCGTGAGTTCGGATGGGTCAGGTTTGTGTGCCTCGCAGACACAGACTGTAGTTGCACCTGCGGATCCGTGGCCGCTGACGAATGAGGAAGAGTACACACCAAGTCTATGGGACTACTATAACGATCCTTTCTTCTTTGATTTTTAATTGATCTGATATATACATATATATATTTAGCGCGAATGAACGGAGAACTGCTCATCTCGTATCTATGTGGTGCGAACGCGCGCGCATTAAGAATGAATAACTTTGGATGGAAATTGACATTATTCCAAAGTGAATAATAATGTTGCATGCGGCGGCGGCGGCGGAAGTCGAATCCATCTGGAGAAGTCATTACCAGGTTAAAGTTTGATGAACGTGTTTGTCAAGTAAATCAAAAGCAAACCAGGTGCTTGCCAACTACCCAGATCGCGTCTTCTTAATTCTGTTGAAAGAAAAAGGCCTTAAGATCAAGGTATGTTGTCGGGTTGCCTAAATTAGTCAGGAGTTTTTATAGAATCAGCTAACGATTCCAGGATCATTATTCGATGAAGGATTCGCGGGTCCCGGCCGCCTTACTGTTTTTTTTTTTTTTCCTGGTTGGTTATATATGAGTAGTTTTCTTCCCTCTCTCACCCGGGCCGGGCGTGGTTGTGTACAAATGCTCTATATTCATGGGTGTGTATGAGAACTTAGGAATGTTTGGTATGAGGCATTCAAATAAAGGATATTAAAAAATAGTGTTTAATACGAGAGATTGTTTATTACATGAGATTAAATAAACCCATATATGAAGATTGGGGGAAGTAGTATTCTCTAATTCTATGTTTTTGAGTTTGTTTAATGCTACATAACAAATAAATAGTTATGCTAAAGACTTTTTTTAATGATTTTTTTAATTACAATCCTAGCTCTATTTTTCATTTTCAATGCTTTGTAGCAAACAGGCTCTTAAGATTTTTCTGTGGATTGAATCTTGAGGAGAGGAGAGACAGAAGGTAAATGGCGAGGAGAGAAATAAGCTCTAAACTCGATGCATGCTTAGCCGTATGCTCAAATTAAATTAGAAAAATGGAATGCCATGAGCCATTATCCAAGCTTGCCATAAAGTTCTTCAGGATCATGTTCGTCCAGGTTTGAGTGGGGCCATTTCATAATTGTTTGGTGACAATTAATCTACGTTACCATTAGGTTATAGACCATTATTCGGTTTAAATGGGATAGTTTGCTATCGTAATATGTTTGAGTTACATTCTATCGACTCAGCCTTTTGTCCGGTCTTTGTCTTTATATAAGTGATAATGAAGTTAATATAAGATGCCGTGAGGGTTTATGTGATGACTACTTCTGGAAGGCTGACAGAGGAGCCGCCGATCATGAAAATTCGGCTAAGAAAAGCTTGATCAAGGTCACTATTGATTACTGATTATGGCATGGCTCCTAGGAAATGCGGTGCCGATCAATGGATTCAAATCTGATTAAAGCTGAAAAATGAACATATAATGATTTTCACATGCTTACAACAAATTATGCTTTGAACCCTAAAACTCGCAAACTTACACCACAACAGTTAATTAAAAGACCGTTTCTCATTAACTGAATCGTTCCGTGCCAGTATATAAGATTGGTGATATGTCGTTATAAAGGAACCCTCTTCGATGTCATTATGAAAATGTTTCAATCAGTTCACTGGTATTGTTCTGGCCATTAACGTGTGTTTTATTTTAGGGCCTGTAAACAAAGCACAACGCAATGAAGGTTGAAAGAAAATAGCTAGAAGAGCAGATAAAAAAAAAAAAAGAGATGAAATTGGATTGCATCAAATGAACGGGATTCCAGAATCCAACTCTGAAATTTAAATGGGGCGTGAAATGCGTCAATTCTTTCTGGGATGATGAATGTTGTTCAGCTTATCTTATAAGGATGCGTTTTCGGGTAAGAAGGGGAGCACCTCAATCCTGCAAGGGATGCGAGCTAGGTCTCTAATAAATCAAAGCTTGGTGGAGAATTAATATGTATTCATTTGTGAGCTTAAATCACAAACAATGCTATCCAGATCGCGACTAATCGACTAATTTTTCAGCCGTCAGAAATTCTTTCCTGAAGAATACTTGATGTGGGGTTTCGGTTGACTTCATAGAATTCGAACTGTAGGATGGAAGATGAGAGTCGTTGTTAATTGAAATGTAAGAACAGGTAAGCTGAGTCATATATAAGAAGCGGGGATAATATCTTGTGGGACTCCGCACGCGTGGGTTTAATATCTCCGTCACCTTCAGACAGTTATCGCCCTAATTGCCCAGGATTCTGCTTCACGATTTGGGCCTTCATCCCTTAGCGCCAGTATTTTTAATTAATCTGCATGTAAATCAAACCCAAACAACGGTAAAACAATAGATTAAATATCATGATTGGAATGAGGAGACGTGATGAACTTCGAAATCGGGTGGGGCATGTCCATTGATTGAGCCGTAACTTAGGAGGCTACTATATATCTTAATCCATCGTTGTCTACCTCTCTTGCTTAATTATTGGGATCTACTTCCTAATATCTTTTGCTTCCAAAATATCTCAGAACGCGTCGGAATCTAGTTCCCTCCCACT